TTATGTAATGCTTGAGTGAGAAAAGGAATCAATCGCAACGTCAAATTTAAGTAAATCTTGTTGCATATCGGATCACGTAATGTAATGCCAGAAGGGAATTTGCTGCTCAGCTGCCTGCATCATTCGCAAGAACAATCACACAAAAGGCGTTTATGGCAGCATCTCAGATAAGACAGCCATCTTCTTTGAGCTGAGGGACATACGACAAAAGATACACCAAGAAATCTCTATCTCTAATCAGTCAAGGCTGCACGCTATCACGCTAGACACAATATGGTTTGACAATTTCAAGACAAGCCGGCCATGAATTAGACCTATTCGGTCGTGCAGATGAGCTTCGTTGAAACTGCTGGAATAGTCAGGCGTGCTAAAGTAGTCTAGCAGTTCCTATAGCCGTCGAACGGAGGTGTCGCATTGACCATTAGCCGTTGAATTTGCCAATTAACAGCAGTCTTGAGTCAACACTGGGTAACAAATAAGCAAACTCTCGAAAATCTGCCATCGTTTCCTTTTGTCACTCTTAAAAAAGTGTTAAGGTAGAAGCCTACCAGCAAACCTCTGCACCACCCTTCACTGTATATAGTCCGAAAATCGACGCAATTACTGCTCCTAAATCGCAGTTTTTGAAATTATTCCACTCTCCTACTTAAACTCAATCCGAATACCCCAGAAAATAAGGTCGGAATTGAGATCAATGCTTAGGAATGGAAGGGTAATGAAAGTCAATTAGGTGTGGCTACATACGCCGCACCACGAAACTCCTGAGTTTCTGTCCTATAAAAGAATTGAGCAAAGGACTTCTCCGACCCCATCTCATGAGTACGGCCATTGTCAATTAGCCCTACTAGGGGGCGACTTTTTACCGCTAACTCTATGGTGTTAGAGGTAAGTGGGTGAATACAATGGTCGCATGAATTGCAAAGCAGACGAGGCTAAATGATTCGTAAGGGATGCAATTTTTGCAAAAATGGACAAAAATCAGCCTACCATAAAACTGTTAAGTGGTCGTGGAACACCTGATGTCCTTCGTTTCTTGTGTGAATCCACGACGGATGTGTAGGGATGCCCCTTATCCATCAGTCCGTCATCGATTTTTGAGCTTGGCCAGCGAGACGGGAATGTGTGTATTTGCCCTAAGTGTTCCATCCAGGCATCCAGACCAGCCAGGCGCGCCTTTTCGCAGCGATTGCATTCGTTAAACTCCACCACGCTGTAGGCAAACAAGGAGGCGGTGCCCGCCTTTACCTTACGTTTGCTTTCTTTGCTAGGGGCTTCCAGTTTACAAGCCCTCTTGGGGTGAGCATTCTGATTCAGAGGAGTAAAGTGCGTTAGGGAGGCCCTAGAAGAGAGAATGAGCTCGGCACTATCCTGTGCCGACGCCATTGACTGTGAGTTAGTGAGTGGGGGAGTAGCAACTGATGGAAGCACGCGTGTGTGCCCACACGAACAAGCAACAATAGCCGATTTTCGGGTCAGTTTGTGGGACACCACGCTTGCATGCACAAATGTAGTAAATATGCATGAGTAATGCTCTACAATGATTGGCTCGGAGTGGATAGCCAATTGCATCTTGGCCAGGATGTATGGGCGGGCGGTCGTATACCTGCGTGCATATCAGCGGCCTTCGAAGATCGATGGACGGAGTCGACACAGGTCTCGACTGACCTGCACTAAGACGGATCACGAGGCCGCCCACATATGTATGGAGTCTTGATGACAAATATTGCAGACTCAGAGGAAGTCTTCCACAGGTGAGGTATCGCAACAGTCCTCAAATGGATGGAAGGTAAGCTGACGTTGCCCCTAGTCGCTTTACATTTAGCAGCTTGTTTGCTATTAGGACGAAAGTTTTACAAAGCCATCTTCAACGAGAGAAAATGAGTACTTTGGTTTTAGTATAGAGCCTTTGCTTTAGCTTTCACAATATAAGCATATTGATGAGTGTCGTTTACTTACACCTTATCAAAGTAGATCATACAGAATGTGTAGACCATCTTCAATACAACCGTTGATGTCAAAATGCGAGTTGATGAAGGCATTGAGTGCCTTTCAATTGTGTAGTCAAAGTAAAATGTGAGCATTATGTACGTGCACTAAAAACAGGATTGTTTCGCTTCATTGAAGTA